TGCAGCCAGTGTAATTTCTACAAAGTACTCCCACTCCAGGGGAATAATAACAATTCAAAATACATATTTACTTTGCATCACACTTTAAATACATCAGTTTTCCAGGTGTTAGTTGCTGGAATGGATGAAAACTTCTTCCTTACATTCTCTGTGCCCTGGGTGTTTTCTGAGAACAGCTGGTTTCAGAAGGTGAAAGAGCATGTGTGACTTGTGTGTGCTGGGCTCTGTGCATGACTTCAGCCCCAAATGATGTGGTCTCTCAGGGAGTGGTCTCTGTGCCATCATTGTTGATGGCTCTAGAACTGAGTTCAGCAGTAGTGTAAGGTTTAGAAAAAGATCCCATGGATCAAAGAGAGCATCAGTCAGAAATGTCTTGGGTTTAATCACCTAGCAAGTAAAAGTCTTGGAAGCAGTGCAGAAAGAAAAGCATAATATATCCTTGAGCTGCTGAATGAGCAAAACCAGCCTAGAAGGAATAAATTTATATGGTAAATGACTGGGATTTGAACAGATGTTCAACCAAAGAGCAAATCTCCTACATCTTTAAATAAGCAAAGCAATACCTAAAGAATAGAGTGGTAGGGTAATCAGAGGTGCAGACAGACTCCACAGATCTTCTCTTTCCTGGACATGAAGGTGCAGTGCTAGATACCAACATGACAGAGAGCAAGGTTCTAGAGAAAACTGATCTTTTAGATGGCACCTGTGTGCAAATCACACCAAAAGGGGTTTGAAAGAGGCTTTTCTCTTCAAAATCATTAAAACAGTTCTGGGTCTGGTGAAATGTAAAATACCAAATTGTATATGTGCAGTTCTATACAAACACAGAGAGATGTGCAAGTTTAAAATATGGCATGTGTTCTTTGTAGATTTTTGACTGATATAATAGAAACAAAACAAGAAGTGGTGCAAGGTCTGGTAGGCATGTAAATACTTTCTTTGGAAATAAATTACTTCTCTTACACAGCTGTCCAGAAAACTAAGCAGTAATTATGCTGGATATAAGCCTGTGTTGTAGATGAAAGTTTGGCTGAAAAAGTGTAAATAAGATTAATATTTTTAAGGCAGGAAGGTGTAGGGGTAGAGGGGGGGACAGAGAGGAGTGAGCAATCTGGAGGAGTGAGGCAGGAGCTCAGATTTCAGGACTAGATCTTTTTCATGTAGAGCACTTAGTGAAAAAAAGGAGAATGGAGAGCAAGAACTACAGCTAATATTTAAAGAAAAATTCTGTTTTCGAAGATGTTGGGTAAAATCCTCTGTATCAAAGAATATAAAGACTTACTCTGTTTTTTACTGGAGAACTCAGATTCTACCAGTCTGCCCCACTTCTAAATGTTAGTTTCTGCCTGTATTAGGCTGTTAGAAACTTGCAGTACTCCTGCCCTTCTCAGTTTCTCCTTAGTCGGAATTTTTGCTCCTGGAGAGGGAAAGAATTGCAGTTTAGGTCAAGGATGTGTAGAAATACTGAACGAAAAGCTGACCAGCAAGCAGTTCTCAAAAGCCAAGCAGGATCTGACCTGTGGGCATCCTGGCCTGTATTTTTTTTTAGGTATTTCAAGGTCTAGAAAAGAAACATTGGTAGGGGCTTGGTTTTTCAACTTTCACCTGAAATTAGGTTCTTTTCTGGGAACAGATGAGTCAGGAGTGGCTCATTCTGCTCAGCCAAAGGGAAACCCTGAGGTAAACTCAGGCACATGGGCTTGTCCCTGCTTGTTGCTTAATACATTGACCAACTCCTGTCAGAATGGAAGCCGGATTTGGTTTTGTTTTTTTTTTTTTTTTTCCCTAATGGCTGCAAATAAACAGGATTTATTTCCTGGATTATAGAATTAGCATCCAAAATGAACAGAAAATCCATTCCACTGTGCAGAGGCTGTGACTTTGGGGCTGAGAGCTGCGTAGCAGCTGCAGGAACGTCTCCTACCACCATCTTCTGGAAGGCACCAAGAACTACAGCCCCTGTCAAGTGTTCTGGGGTGTGTGAGGTGTAAGCCAGAATGGGAAGTATGGATGTCTCAGTGAAACACGTGCTGATGAATATTATCTTCTCACTTCAGCCCATCTGCCAGGCAGCTTATAACAACGATTTCAATAAAGTTCATCTCCTTTTGGAGGGCAACAGCAACTGTTTGAATGTACAGGACAGCTTCCTTGGAGACACGCCCTTAATTTGTGCATGTAGACAAGGAAACAACAGGATAGTGAATTATCTTCTTAGGAAACATGCTGATGTCAACCTCAGAAACAAGGTAAGTGGCCACTGACTCTTCCTTTGTGGTTCTGTTCTTTCCGATTCTTGAAGTGCCAGTGGGAACACTAGCAAGCACAGACAAACCTCAAGTTTGTTTCATACTGAGGATATGTGGAGGAACTAAAAGGAACTAAAGGTGGAACTAAAAGGCTTTTCTGCTTATTTTAGGGCCATGTGTCCAGCTCCATTTTGACAACCTGGAGCAAGTTTAACACTGTAGCACAAAACTTTGCAGACCTGCCCTTTAGTTGCTTTGGTATATTCAGTATTCAAAGATTTTTTTTCAAACTCTATTATCAATAGAAGTCTGTGGTAGTTTTTAATACTTTCCTGTTTTTCTCTGATGTCCCAGAAGAGATGTCCTAAGGTCTCATATGTCCTTGCTTCAGTAGCCAGCACCTCCATAAGAGGGGGGTCTGTGGTGATTCCTCCTGCTGTGTGACAGCAACAGCCACATAAGATACCCACTCTGTCCTTTGAATTTCTGCAGCCAGGTCAAAGTTTGCCAACATGGAATCCTTTGGATCCCACATCCTCCTTGCATGTGTAATCCAATTTCCATGACCCTCTATGTGTTAAATGTGCTTTTACTTGAAGGAAACAAGATGCATTTTTGTCTATTTCTGCTTGAAAAACACAGGAGATTTCCTATTAGATTGTCCAAGAGAAAGCTTGTGGAATTTAAAAATGGTCTACTCTAGTCAATATTAAACACAGTGAGTTCACTGAATGTGGTACTAATCAGAGCTGCTCTGTGTTTAGAAGCACCGCACTTGCCTCCATTATGCTGTGAGAAAACGTTTCACCTTCCTTGACTATGTGCTCATCATAATCCTCATGCCAGTTATGCTCATTGGATATCTTCTCATGGTGAGTCTGGATGGAAGCACAAATTACTCTATCTTTTCCTTGCCATTTTTCATGGCAGTGTTTCAGGCCAGGAACCTCTAGAGAATATGGACTGCTTTCTTAAAGCAAGACTCAATGTGTACAACAGAAGGAGAAGGGATTTTGCTGTGGCTGTAACTGGTGAAGGAATAGATTTTCATTACTGCATCAGTCTGACATTTCTAGAGACCTTGCCTCTTTTTGGAAAAAAACCCCATGGTATTTAGCACAAATATACTTAAGACTATATGTGGATTAGCTGTTTTACTGTGTTACTCTTTCCCTTGCACCAAACAGGTCTCAAAGACAAAACAGAATGAACACCTGGTCAAGATGTTGCTTAGATCTGGAGTCGATGTGAATGCTACAGACTTTGTAAGTGGGTTTATACAAATGCAAATGTGGGTCACATGCAGGAAACTATACTAAAAACAGACTACAGAACCTTCTAGCAGCATAGCTGGGTTAGGAGCATCAGGGACTGAACTGTCTAATGTACCAGGAGGATTCAGTGTTTCTGCTTGACACTTAGGCAATAGATGTATAGTGTATATAAAAATAATTCCCCACTCATCAACTAATCCTCCCTTTCTGATCAATGCCCTCGTAAGAGAATCCAGGCAAGACAGGCTCATGTACTTATGTATTAAATACCCAATTCTGTAAAGATTCTAGTGATATAAGCATCTCAGTTTTTCAGCATTTATAAGATTTTTAACTGGAACAGATCTGTGGGCTAAAGGGCAAGACCCTGTGTCTTCTCTTGGTCTTCAGAGTGTGCTGATCTGCCATATACAGAATTATGTACCCACTAGCCTACTTGGGTTAGGTAAAGAGCTCCTCTTCTCTAAGGTAGAAAAGGAGAAACACCAATTTTATCAGCAATGAAATTCTAAAACACTGAGGTACAAGCAAACAGTATTGTTTAATATTTAATTTCTGAGATCAAGCTCATATGATCCTCTGAAATTATTGTCTTCCTGCTGATGTATCAAGCCTGTTTTAGCAGTTGCATCCCAGGGAAGGAATTATTTTGTTCCTGTTTCTCTCATGGTAATGTATTTGTTTTACTGTGTAGTGTATTGTGTCAGGAAATGGTATATGTGTTTTGCATCCAGCTGTTGAGGAGAATCTGATAGGCTACAGGTAGTTCTACTTACCTAAGCTCTACTAAAGAAGTCATAGAAATAAAATTAATATCCTCTTTCCCTTCAGTCTGGCAACACAGCCCTTCACTATGCTTGTGAAATGAAAAACCAGGCAGTCATTCCTCTATTGCTTGAAGCTCATGCAGACACTTCTGTAAAGAATCAGGTAAGAAGGTGAAGTTGATAAATGTATTTATTATCATGGTGGTCAAGCAGTAAGTACATTGTAGGCCTTAGCTAGCTTAGCAGTTTAAAGAGAAGGGTGCACAGCTTCCTGGCAGCCAATTTGTTTCCTGGGTGGTACGAAACTTTTGTTACATTGCCTTTGTTGACTAGAGCAGCTTTAAAGTATGAATCCTTCACTGCTGGATTTCTACCAGTAAACACTGCCTGCATGTCCCCTGGCTTAGCACATCTCTTACCTATCTTTGTTTCCTCTTCTTAGCTCAGAGCTACTCTATAGTTGTTCCTTAAATGTAGGCTTCAGGGCAGGGATAAAAGTCTCCCAAGGTGTTTTTTGTACTGTTGGGCACCCTTCTTCTGAGAGGCTAGGTCAGGCTGCTTCTGTCACCAGAACAGCTCAAGTGCTGCCCAAATCAGAATTGACCTGGGAGTATCCACACTACTGAGTTGAGGTGAGCTGTGTATTACCTGTGTTGCTCTTGAAATCAAATACTAGCTGAGCTCCATACATTTGGATATAACTCCCAGGAACTTCCCTACTATAGGGGAGGTCTCTGTTCCCTTCTTCAGCCAGAGCAGTATTAGGCCCAGCATGTCCTGAAATCTTTATTTTAGAGCAGAAGTGACAGGGGACCTTACACAGGTGGCAAAGTTAGGAAATCTCTTTATATGAGACCCACGTCTGTCATTTTGTAATGTATTTCATGTGTTTCTTTCAGGATGGGGAGACTCCCTTAGATATAGCAAGAAGATTGCAGTTCCACAGCATTGAAAGCATGATAAGAAAAGATTCTTAGCCACCAGGGATTCTCAGACATGCAGAAAATTACCTCATCTGACAATCTGCCTTTCACAACAGTGGGAGTCCTGCAAAGGATGAGGGGTGACACTTGATAAAGACTCAGTCCACATCCACCCATTCCTTGCAGACTTGGACAGTTTTGTGTGAGATTCATCAGGCCAAGGCCATGAAGTTAATTTTATTTTACTAAGCCATGAATTACTACAATAGTGTAGTAGTGTTCAAAACATTGCCCTTTCCATCTGTTTCATCAGTTTTATTATTTGACTCCTGCAGACTGTGGATTTTGAAAGCTAGTTATAAAATATCTGGAAACCTAAAAATTGCGTATAATGGTTTATATACATATAATGCAGTCACTGCGAAAATAAAATATCTTTTAGAATGTGTGCTACTTGTTCCATAGGAAAACTAAATAATATGCTACAACAGTCATAAAAGGCCTGGTACCCTTCTTCTTAATATTTATCTTCCTACAATGGGAGGGGCTGGGAAAACAGATCTCTCAGTTGAGCCCTTCCTCCTTCCATCCTTCCTACAATTTTCACACACCTTAATTCTCACGGTGTTGCTACAAGGGATCTTGTAGGATAGGACTATCTTCTTTTGTTTTCATTTAAGGAACACCAAAAAGGGATTCAATGCCTTACTGGAGACCATAAAACAAGTGAATCACATTAATGCATTAAGAAAGAGTAAAGAAAATATGTTTGGCTCAGTAGAGAAAAAGGTCTCTTGACTACCTTTCCAATATAAACAGTGTACTAAAGAAAAAAAGGAAATGAATGAAATGCCATTGATGGAAACCAGATGTATCATTCCCATGGGACTAGACAGGACAGCATACTGTACAGAGTGATGCATGCAGGAGAGGATAATACCAATCATAATAATAATATATGCATGAGTCTTCTCTTGCATAAGTGAAGGCAGAAGAAAACCTGCAGTAATAAGCAATGTATTAAAAGTGGTCCAGTGCTTTGTGATTTAATAATGCAGCAATAAAAGGGAAACTTCTTTCATACACTGCTGTGTTGTGCCTCCTTGGTCTAATGGATCTTTATTTTTGTTGACAATTTTGACCTTTTCCTGTAAGCTGTGCAGTACAGCCTTGCTAATGGGTGCTACAGTAGGTGCATGGACAAGCTAGTGTACTTTTCCTGGGTTGCAAAGACAGATATATTTTTCAGTGTCATTATTGTATTGGATGTCAACTCCAACTACAAAGGGTCTTGGCTGGACAAGATGAGCTTGAGGCTGCAGCCAGAAACACCCCATGAAATAAAGCTCCTTGTTGGAGCCTGTAATAATGAACATTTTGTGTGCACTCTGGGGACAGACTCCAGATCAGCTTGTAGGTGAAAAGAGGGGAGGCACTTGCATGGATTATGAAGACATCTCTCGGGGATGATGGCCGGAAGGGGAAAACATCCAACTGCTTTGCCATGTTTTGAGAACTGCTTGAATTAAGAATGGCCCAGACACAGAGCTGTGTAGAAGTGAATGCTGACAGCTGAGAGTGCTTGTAACAGCTTCATTACCAGTGTGAAGAATAATTCATAGGGTGGAAGCTGTATTGCCTGGAGTGCACATTACTGGATGGGTCTACATCTCCTTATTCCACAGCTGCCCTCTGTGGTCTTTGAAACTATGAGGGGTTCAGGGTGTGTGAACAAACATTTGGGTGATTTGTAGGCATAGGGGACAGAGAAATACTTCAATTAATTTTTTTTAGGGTGGATTCCTTGATATTTTGTACTCATCTATTATCTGCTCAGTTTCTTGTGTTTGAAGATCTCTTGGTTGCGGTGACATTAAGGGGTAATTTGAGGAGGGAAAACAAAAAAGACAGGTTTTCTGTCAAGGGGATCAATAATTTAATTTAAACAAAATTGTTCATTTAAACAGAGAAATGATAAAATCACACTTTTGGGTCTCCATAGGAAGACGAAAATTGGGAATGAGAATGCCTCAGTCGTGTAAATAAAATCTATCTTAAAAGAACAGAATTTAGGCCTAGGAAAATTAGTCTTGTAGAAATAAAAACTTTTGAAATTCAGTGAACCCTGCAGTATGTACTCAAATATATTAATGTTTTCAGCTTTCATTCTTATATACCTCAGACTTCTCAGGAAGACAGCAGTCACAGGAACACCATGGAAAAACTCAAATTATGAGGAAAACAAGAAGTAAATAAGAAAAAATATATACCCATAGAAGTATCCATTTTGTGTGCTTGTGTGTTTACCTCTTCCCCACATACCACCCTTATTGCCAGATAGACATTTTGGAGTTTTTTATAATCAATAGTCTGCTCATGGTTTCAAAAGTATTTTCTTAATAATTCAATGATTTTCAGATACATTTTTTCAGTTGCATCAAGGCCCCAGATGAAATCAAGATGTCCCCATGCAGGAAAATTCTCATGGTAAATGAGATTAGTAATCCGAGGAAGTAGCCTTGCCATGTCTGTTGGGTCTGCAAATTTGTCCTGTCCACCACTCCAAACAGCAATTGGTATCTTTATCTCCTCTATCTTGTACTCGGGAGGAGCAGTCTGTAAGACAGGGAGGAGACCTGAGTGAATGCTGCTGTATCAAAGTTGTGTTTAGAGAAAGGTTTCTGTGCAAGCACCTCTCTTTGTCTTTTGCTTCTGCACTGCCTCCAGTAAAACCATAAGGATGAATGCCACCCTCTTATTGCTCATTGCCCTAACCCCATTCCCTGCCTATGGAATGAGCCACCTTATTCCTGTTCTTTCTATAAAGCATGGCTGAGGATTGTCTTGCAGTTTGGTCCTGGCATGTGCTCTTCAGAGGTGTGGGCATGGAAAGACCACTGTCAGTATTCATCAGTCAAGGACTGAGGACATTTTTCCTGTGTGTATTCAGGGTGAGGTGATCTATAAGTTTTTTTGGGGTGCATGGAGTGCAACTTTGGATCTTAGTTTTCATGCTTGGAACTGAAGTAGAAAGGAAATTATTTGGTCATTTATGATTTCACCCTAGAAAATTTCTGAGTGTCCAGGATAGAAGTGACTGATTGTAGCTCTGGAGCCTTACAGCATGAGGTACTTTAAGTCAAATATGCCTATTAAAAGTGAAGTGGTTGCCAGTCCACTGGAGAGGTCACTTTAGCCGTGAGATCCACTTCCTCTCTTAAACAAAAGGCAGTGTTTGAGGATTTTTGGGCAAGTGAAGGGCTCTGTACTCACCCAGTCCTAGGACTTGGGTGTGGTTCTTATTCATTTTTGGAATGACACGTAAGTTGACATGTCATTGAGCACATCCCAGCACCAGTAGGGGAGACAAATGAACTTCTGTTAATTGTCTGTAAGGGTCTATCTCTGCCTTGTTTGTGAATATACTTTTATACTTGTGTGTGATTCAGCTGAAAGATTATCTCTCCCCCTTGTTAGTACCCACGGGTGCTAAAATTTGAATTTTTCTATACTAGTTCTACCAAGACTCAAGGGCAAGTTCTGAGGGAGCCCATTTTGCCTTACCTGGTTGTATTTCTTCATGTTTTCCTTAGAGCCATAGTCATAAGCTTGAAACCGGTCTGTATGTGCTAGCTGTTAAAAGACAGAACAGACAAAATAAAAGATATGAGAGATGAAGGAGTAGAGTGCAGGAGGTATATTCCTGCCTGTGAATTAAGTCAAGACTCAGGTACAGGACTGTGTTACTCCCACACCTTCCTCTGGTTGCAGGCTTCCAGGGTGCTGAGGATAGGTCACAGGGTAAGTGGCATCCTTGCCTTTTCTCTTGTTAACTTTCTGTCCAGATCCTCCCTCAATATGTTTTGTTACTTAAAATTTTGTTTTACAACCTTAGATAAATAAAGTTGAGGTCACAGTTTGTCATGCAGAGTTGGGTCCAGTTATCACATGGAAAGAGAACCTGAATGTCTATACGTGCCAGGGCTATTACAAGTCTTGTGTAATATGCCTTGCAGGACTGGTGAGTGAATACTTGGAGTTATTTGTTTGTTTTGGTAAGTTAATTTTTTGCATAAACATGGCAAGTAATTTCACTTGTGAGTGGTGTGTAATAAAGGGTGAGAGAAACCTAGTGTTTGTCAGTTTAGAAAACCTTTGCTTCCAGGATTTAAGTAGCTGTGTACGCATTAAAAACCTGCCTGGTGCATTGTCTTTGCTATGTTTGCTTTATCTGTGTTTGCTTTGCATCCACTTGGTTTTGTTAGAAGTTGGCAAAATAGACCATAGACTCACTAGCTGGTCATGGTTTGTGTCCATTTCCTGCCTAGTTGTATCCTGTGGGATTGACTGTTGGGAATCTTTGTCTTCAGGAGCACATCCATATTCTAGACCATATTAAATGTGCAGGTGCTCATGGCAGTAGGTGAGAAGGTATGATGGTCACTTTCCCAAATCCAAAGCCTCTGGATTTCCCTGTAGGCTGTCAGTTGCATAAAAAGCAGTAATAGGAGATTGTTTACATGTCAGTGCACAATTATACCTGTCGCCAATGAAAAATGTTGTGTGCTGATGTTCCAGCTGGGGAATGTCCTACATACATATCCACTCGACTCTGGAGAGAAAGCAGAAATTTTATCAAGACAAGAGATCCAGCGCTGTGACCGAATAAAACGGTAAGAAAGTGAGTTTCTATTAAAGAAGTCAGCTTACAAAATATTTTTTATAGTTCTGTTAGGGAGATGTCCCAGTTCCATCTGCCTGGATTCTTCTTCACCTGTGTTATCTTGCTCTGAGAGCCACGTTAGTGACTTAAGCAAGGCAGGAAATATCCTTCATGGCTTAGCTCTGCAACTCAAAAGCTGCAATTGATTTTGCATTGAACCTTTGAGTCTATCTTCTTTCCCATATGTGCTTTTGGAAAGGATTATAGATGAAAAAACTGGGCCCTATTGTTACAGACACTGCTGTAATAAACATTATACAGGCCGGCTTCTGCATATTTTGGCCACTGTAAAGGGGATTGACACCACAGCATCCAAGTATTGGCAAGCAGAGGGAAAACTCTGCTGTATCTCCTGTCCCCTCTGACTGATGCACAAGTATTTGTGAATACCAGTCTAGGTGTGCTACACTCCTCAGCATGGTGGAAGGGCTTTCTGTAGCTCTACACCTTGTGGATTGAGCTGTTGAACCCAGTTCTAAGGTCAACAAAACCAGGAAAATGCCCTTTACAGTTGTTCTTTGGGACCAAGGTTTTTGGTGCAAATAATCTGAAAATTTGGAAGAAGAAGAGGTTTTTCTCCTGTCTTTTAGGTATTTCAGTGTTCAGAGGATCCCAGTGTCTATATGCTAAGGAAGGAAACTGTCAGCTGTATTGGCATGAAGCCTGACTCCATCACTCTTTGTCTCTTTTTAAAGAACATCTATGTCTGACAAAAATCTGGTTGGCTTAGCCCCAAAAGGGGGAACATCCTGACATGTGCAATACAGCTCCAGTCTGAACTGAGTTCTTCCTTTCTGCCATTGGAATGTGCCTAGCTGCTGGTCCCACCCATCACTAGCCCAAGCCATGCTGCCACTGCTGACAGTGCACCACATCCTGACGTTCCCTCGGTCTGCTGAGAACTACACTGTGGCTTGTGTACATTCACACGTGTGACAGTAACTAGACAAGGATATAGTGCACAAAACTGCCAAAATCCCTTTAGTTTTGCTCTGAGTAGGTGTTATTGCATATACTTACCGTGTTGATATTTTTTACACTGCCTCCAGCTATGTAACAGAGAACATGGGCACAAAACCTATCCAGGCTTGTACAGAGCTGTGTCACGGGTCCTTTCAGAAACTCGATCTGGTGTGCAACTCCTTTGCAGCCAAACACCAACTGAGGGAAAGGAAAAGTGCAACACCTTTTTTTCTTGTTACAGAAGAATTTAATGCAGAAAATTTTTGCCAATAGCCTTGCCTTCATAGCACAATATTCAAAGAATGCTGGAACAGCTTACCCTCACATTACCCCTTAAAACTCTCTCTTCCCCACAGCACATCATTTATTGTTCCTCCTTCATATTGCTATCAGCAAT